CGTCCTAAACCACAGCTTTCGCATTTTGTAGGCTGAAAGTATCAGACTTTTTTCTCTGTAGTCTTGATGGATGTTTCCAAATGAAAAGATACTGGTCTTTCTGAGATGTCTTCCCTCATCCGTCTGCCCATCCTCTGCCACCACGGCCTCTCCTCTAGGCATGCCTTACCAGTTATTATTTCCTGAGCACATCATGGCCTCTGTGTTTTTGTTCATTTACCCCTTTTGCATGAAATGTCTCTGACTTCCTCCCAGAAAATTGTTACTTATCTATGAAGGCCCGGTTCAGATGATGCCTTATTTATGAGGTCTGACCCGACTGTTCAGGCAAAATCAGCTTTTTCATCGTCTTTGCTCTGGTAGCACTTTAATCAGAGGGAGGCCAGATGTGTTCTCATTCACCTGCTCTGTGGGTCCCAGGAGGACTAGATGGAACTGAAACCGAGCCCCCCTCAGAGCATCCCGACCAGATCTCCAGCTTCTGTGAAGGTCGGGCCCATTCCCGTGAGACTTCCGTGAGTGGGGACTGTGTGGAAGGACAGTTTGGACTCCACACTAGCTTGGGCAGGTCGTCATGATGGACAGAAGGACGGGGGCAAGACAGGTCCCAACAGGTTTGCGAATGTCACACACGGGTTTGTGTTTTACATAAACCACCTCATTCGTTCTTCACCTTTCAAGGAGGGTCTTATTATCCTTGTTTTGTAAATGGAGAAATCTGAGGCTCAAAGAGGTCAAGTAAATTACCCAAAGTAGATGGCGGAGTTTGGTTTAAAATTTGGGACTTTCTGGCCCCAAAGCCTGTGTCTGTTCCATTCTGGAATCTGTGCTCTGGGGAAGGAGAGGTTCAGGATGAAGCAACGGTGTTCTCACTTGAGAGGTTACCTCTCCAAACTCCCTTTCTCTTCTGTTGTGGAGGTGAGCGTGGGCGGGGCTGAGGGTGGGGACGCGGAGGACAATGTGAGGAGCAGAGTCGGGGAAGATGGGGAAAGTTGGCTGCGGCAACCTTTCCTCTGCCCAGTATTTCTTCTCTAACACTGTGGAAGTCCTGGATTTGTGGATGCTCTCCTGACCCCAGTCCTGTCCTTCCAAAAGGCCAGCTGGAGTGATTATGTTTTCTGGAATAACACAGGGAGGATGATGATTAATACTTGGCAAACTTTGGTGTAGGAAATGTGAAACACGTGCCTGTTTGGGGTCCCTTCACATGTTTCTAATCAACCAACCAGATTTCACTTGAATCTTTTACGGCTTCTCTGAAATTTGTAGTGAAACTGAAAGCCAAGTGTAGCCCTGGACCCATTTGTGGTTGCTATAATAACTATCCCTTTTCCTGACTCCTTCCACCACTTAGTGAAAATTACTATTGCAGTAAAATTTCTTAGTCATACTTTCCAGGGGGTTGAAATTTCTTAGCTTGTCATATGGATAAATATCTTGTTATGTTGATATTAGAGCAGTATGGTTGGATGGGTCTTTGAATGGAATTTGACAAAAGACACAGGCAAAATTAAATATTGAAAATTCTGTAAGTAGGTTGTACTGCCCCTTCAATTCAATTCAAGAAACATTTTGAGCACCTACTTTGTATAAGATTTGCCTGAAACTGTGAGTCCAGAGATGATTCCTACATTTATTTCCTATAAAAGTCCACACCTTAAACAGAATACATCTCAAAGAGAACTCACCATCTTCATGATCCTAAGCTTAGACGATGGTGCCACCAGTGACCCAGTTGCTGAAGCTAGACACCCTGGAATCCTCTCTGATTCTTCTCCCTCCCTTATAACCGTATTTAATGAAGTCCTAGATATTTTGCCTCAATTTTTAAAAAAACTTACATCCTCATCTCCATTGCCATGATCCCTTCCCTGGTCCAGGCCTTCATCATCTCCTGCCTGGATGTTTCAGTGACTTTCTTTCTCATTTCCCTGCCCTCAGGCTCTCATCTTCCTTACCCCTTCTAGAGCAGTTACTCAAGGCACAAATGTGAGTATGTCACTCCCTTGCTTCATGAACTCTGTATTCCCCACAGGATGAATGCCAAACTCCTCACCAAGACATTCAAGGCCTTTTACTGGGTCACCTTGGGTGCCATGTTGGGGGAGGGTGGGTTGACCCATGAGTGAAGGCATCTTAGAAAGACCAGCATCTTTTCATGTTGAAAACAGCCATCAAGACTACAAAGAAAAAAGTCTAACATTTTCAGTCTGCAAAATGGGAAAGCTGTGGTTTGGGATGAGCTGTGTTCCCATTTCCTAGAACTCCACCCTTTCAAATGCATTCTGTCAAGATAGAAAACAATACATTCAAGACAGAAACAAGACAGTAGGTAATGATTTCAGAGTGCTTTTAGTCAAAATGTGATGTTCATTGGAAACATGAAATCAAGATTTTTTAAAAAAACATATTTATGCATCCATCCATTTATTCATTCACTTCTTTGATCAACAGATAATTTATTGACTACCGAGACAAGAAAGTTACAAAGTACCATGGTACAGTGCACCAAAGTACATGGTACATAGTCCCTGCTCTCAAGGAAAGGTAGGTAAGTAGGCAATTATAAAACCATAGAATGAGCATTCTGTTCTGAAAAACACATGGTGCTTTGAGAACGTGTATTGGGAGCACCTAATCTAATCCAAGAGGGTCAGGAAAGGTGATATTTATGTGGAAAGAAGAAAGAAGAATATGAGTTACCCAGGTGAAGGGAAGACTGGAGAGAAGTCCAAGCAGAGGGAAACATGGGCAAAGGGCCAGAATTAAGACAGAGGGGAATTCCGAGTTGCTAATGTGGCAGGATTATAATGCTGCAGTTAAGATGGAAGTAGGTACGGAGGCAGTTAGATATGCACCTACAGCAGGAAGTAATAGGTCCTCTGGGGGCATCTCTCACCCTTCCTGGGTCTTAGGCAGAATGGGTCAGTGCTAGGGCTCATGGCTTGGCACGTGGAACATGGACTAGGTTTCAGCTCACTCAAATCCTTAGCTAGAGACATTTGACTATAGGCTGCAACCTTGACCAGATTACTGCTAAACAAGATCAAGGAGTTGACCCTTTATCTTCAGGACAATGGGAAACCCTGCAGGGTGTTAAGCAGAGGAATTAGGTGAGGTTAGAATTTTAGGACCGTCTGTCTGGCTGCAGCATGGAGGGTAGGTTAGAAGACTTCAAATTGGAGTCAAGGAGAATGGTTAGGAGACTTTCTAGCAGTCCAGATGAGAGGAAATGGTGGCCTGACCTGAAGTAGTTACTGCCATCGTGAGTAGCTAAGAGGAACTCAGCAAGCAGCCTTCCAGGAGCTAGGCAGGGATGGTAGTCTTGCTCTTTCTTACCAAAAGCCCACCTTGGTGAGAGACAACAATCATGGATTTGCTGAACCATGATGAGGAAATAGATTCCTTTTTTTTAAACACCTTTACTGAAGTGTAATTGATATTAAAAAAAAAACCCTGCATACATCTAATATATAATTTGATGAGTTTGGCCTTAAGCAGACACCAAATCAAAGTAACAAACACATCTATCACCTCCAGAAGGGTTCTTAACAAGAGAAATTCAACAAAGGAGTAGGAAGAGAAACAGAACAAGATTCTGTTTGTCCCCTGAGCTGGCCCAAATGGGTGTCCCCTATGGCCTTTAGTTGTATAATAACCTCACCTGAGCCTGATGGGGACATTTATGTTTGTGACAGCTTGTTCTGTTTTTCCTCCCACTGGAAACATTTTCACGAGGCAACCGAAGAATCTCATTCATTACCCCAGAAAGCAACTTGAGCTTTCACGGTTGTGCAATCGCACCAAGTTAAATTTTTACAGGTCCTGGGTTGGGTTGGCCTGGCGTGGGTGAGATGGGAGCCAGCAGGGTTGGGTGTGAGGAGTACAGGCAGTCAGACAGTAATGGAATTAGCCACAGTGCAGATTTGCATTGGTGCGTGTTAACATCCTTAGTCACCAACTCAGGGGTGCTTTGAGGTCTACTGTTTGATCTGGAAAAACCATTAATGAACAAAATAATCATTTATATATTCTCTAGTTTTCTAATCATGTAAAAAAAATCTGTTACTTTAATCATAAAAAAAAAGAAAAAAAATCCCTGCCACAAAAGAACAAGGTGTCAAGAGAGTTGAATTCTCTCCCCAATATTTTCCTTCCTCAGGCACTGGGAAACTTGATAAGGCACAACCTTCTCTGGGTCTCATTTCCTTGTCTCAAAACTGCTTTCAGAATTAAAATCCCATGCCACTATGAGATATTTGCATTTTGAGGTGTCAGCACACAGTAGGCTCTCCATGTATGTCTGTAAAATTGGAGGAATGAACATTGTGTGCTAGGCACATGGGAGGCAGAGAAATCAATGAGAAAAGTCCTTGTGTTTTAGTTGCTCAGTCATATACACAGGTGATAACGGACACTGTCTAGGTGCTATCCCACAGGCATGTAAGGGACTGAGAAGACAGAGGGCAGGAAGGCAAGAAACAGAGGCAGTTGGGCTGAATCTGTGCAGAGGTTCCCCAGATGTGCAGGAAAGGCCATTCAAAGGAGTGGTAGGCAAATGAAGGTCCACTAATTACCCTCTGTAACTCAGAGACTTGACGCTTAACTGCAAAAACAGCCTCTGGGGAACAGGCAGAATAATTGACCACTTGATAGCAAAATGGGTATGCCCTGTGGCCACTTGCTACAGATGGTTGTGTCTGACCATTGGATTGCCTACCATAGGTCAATTTCAGATGTACTTAAGAGGCACCCCTTAAGAGGGCTTAGCAGAGGATGCTAGAGGCAGGGCTGACATATAAGAATAGTAAAAGGAAGATAAAGAAATTGCTGGAGAGTAGTGCAGGTGGACAAACAAGACAAAGAGCCACATAGCCAACATCCTCTGCCTGCGAATGGCACTGATGAGCATTTGGTGGGAAGGTCTAGGTTCTCGCCGTCAGCGTTTTATGCCAGGAATGGACCTAACCCGCCTCCTCCCCACAACTTTCCATTGACAGGTGCTCTTCAGCTTCAGCTAAATCTTGCCACTGTCCCTACTTTCATCAGGCAGGACACAGATGACCATTTGGCAGTGGATATCTGCATGGTGTGTGAAGTTTTCCTAGAATAATGGCTTTAATTATTTTTTAAAGCAGCAGAACCCTCTTCCCATATTAAATTTTACTTAGAAGAACAATATGGAAACAGCTGTGGTCAAACAGCGACAACTACAACACCAGAAACATTTATCAGGCATTTATAGTGTCCCAAGTGCTGTGCTATGATGCACTTGATAAGCATCCCCTCATTTAATCTTTTTTTTTAATTGAAATATAGTCCCTTCATAATGTTGTGTCAGTTTCTGGTGTACAGCATAATGTTTCAGTCATTCATATCCATACACGTATTTGTTTTCATATGCTTTTTCACTATAGGTTACTACAAGATATTGAATATAGTTCCCTGTGCTATACAGAAGAAACTTGTTGTTTATCTATTTTATATATAGTAGTGTGTATCTGCAAATCTCCAACTCCCAACTTATCCCTTCCCACCTTTCTCCCCTGGTAACCATAAGTTTGTTTTGTATGTCTGTGAGTCTGTTTCTCTTATGCAAATAGTTCATTTGTGTCTTTTTTTCTTCTTTTTTTTTTTTGATTCGACATACTCTCATTTAATCTTTATAATAAGACTGTGATGTGGTGCATATAAGATAGCATTATTTTTATACTCTTTTTAGAGAGGAGGATGCTGGGAATGAAGAGTAATGGCTAATATGTATCAAAGCTAGAGTCTGACCTGGGCAATCTTTTCTCAATCTGGGGTCCTCTTGCCACAAGAGGTCCTGTCCCAGTGGCCTGGCTGGGATGGGGCTGGTGAGGCAGAGCCGAGCCATTCTGGAATCCATCTCCTTTCCCTGTTTCCCCTTGGTAGCATGTGTGGCTAATCCTTTCTATCCTCCTTCCCCCAGCTTGGGAACTCGCATAATTCGCCAGGTTGCTGTGTAATGTGGTCTAAGAAATATTGCCATGGTTTGTCCTCCAAGATCTCTCCAGAGTCCGTGTTCTGCCACAGCAACTCAGTGTGAAAAGGGTCCTGTGGCTAAATAAGTCTTCAAAAGTGGAAGTGGATGCCAATCACACACAAGAACAGGCATTGTGGTAGAATAGATAAACAAGATTACACTGTATAGCACAGGGAAATATACACAAAATGTTATGATAAATCACAGAGAAAAAAATGTGACAATGAGTGTGTATATGTCCGTGAATGACTGAAAAATTGTGCTGAACACTGGAATTTGACACAACATTGTAAAATGATTATAAATCAATAAAAAATGTTAAAAAAAAACAGGCATTGTGTGACCCCATTTATAGGACGTGTCCAGAATAGGCAAATCCATAGGTACAGAAAGTAGATCAGTGGTATCTAGGGCTAAGCGGCTGAGGAGTCTTGGGGAATGACTATTAATGGGTACAATGTTTCTTTTTGGAGTGATGAAAATGTTCTAGAACTGACTGTGGTGATGGCTAGTTCTGTGAATATCCTAAAAAGCACTGACTTATACCATTTAAATGGAGGAATTATGTTATATGATTTATAGCTCAATAAGACTGTTTAAAAAAACCCACACAAAAGATAAAAATAAACATACAGCATCTCTTTAAAAATTTGTTTAATGTGTTAATCTATTAATTTATGAATTCCTTCCACAATATCTGTGGAGTGCCATCTGTGGCTGGGCATCTGCTACACATTGGGGTACAAGGAGAGACAATTGTGACACAGCTGCTGGTGGCAGCATGACTCCTCTAACAGGGGCATGTGCCCGGAGCCCTTTGGGGACATCTGTGAGTGTTCACAACTCTACTCACAAGAGCCAAAAGACAGAAACAACCCAAAAGTTCTTCAAAGATTCATGGGTGAACAAACTGGGTCTATCTATATGCTGGAACACTATTCAGCCATAAAAAGAAATGAAGTGTGCTACAGGGTAAAATCTTGAAAATGTTATGCTAAGTGAAATAAGCCAGACACAAAAGGTCGAATATTATATGATTCCATTTATATGACATATTCAGAATAGGTAAAATCACAGAGACAGAAAACAAAGTCGTGATTGAATGGGCAGGGGGAGGGTGAAGTGGGGGGTGACTGCTAATGGGGACAGGATTTTTGCCGGGAAAGACCTCGCAAAAGAGATGCTATTGAGCCCAAACTCGGATTTTACCAGGGAGTCCAGCAGCAAGGAATCTCTGTAGACAGCCAAGATGCTCTATGGGTTTCTTTTAAATAATTAATTAATTAATTAATTAACTTTTAATTGAAGTATACTTGATTTATGATGTTGTGTTAGTTTCAGGTGTACAGCAAAGTGATTCAGTTATATATATATTCTTTTTCAGATTCTTCTCCATTATAGGTTATGAGATACTGAATATAGTTCCCTGGGCTACACAGCAGGTCTTTGTTGTTCATCTATTTTGTACATAGTAGTGTGTATATGTTAATCTCGGACTCCTATTTTATTCCTCCTCCCCCCTGCTCTATGGGTGATCTTGGTAGAGCTGATATTACGTGAAAGCTTGGAGCAAGTAGAGCACCGGACTTGTCTGGGGCTTTGCATGCTGGATAACAGATGATGTGTGGGAGGACCGGGGGGGAAGACGAGTGAAAGATAAGCAGGAGCTAATGACCCCATTCCTTGAATCTTTCATTCATCCATTCGTTTCTTTCTCCAGCATCACCCACATGCCAGGCAGAGGTTAGGTCAGACGTCTTAAGCTTGGCTTTTACAATTGCCTGGAAAGCTTACAAAAACAGATACAAGGGTCTTACCCCAGAGGGTGCTTTGTGCACCAGGATTTTTCAAAGCTTCTCAGGGAATTCTAACTGTAGTAAGTGTTGAAAACCAGTAGGAGATAAAAAAAAAAATTAAGGCAAAGATGGTTGTGGCACTTGGGAGTTTATAATCAACAGATGTTTTCTGAGAGCCTATTAAGTACACCCTGGGCCCTGGGGATACAGCAGTGACTAAAAGATGAATCCAAGCCCTCATGAAAGATCAGACTAGTGGAAGCAACAGAAAATAGGCAAGAAAGCTTATTCGGAGTCTCTCATTACAACCTGGGATAAATGATATGACGGAAATGAAGGTTAACAGGTAGCCAATATTGAGGGAGAGGATGGTTCTCTAGATTGGCTGGCAAGGGAAGGACCCCTTGAAGCGGTGACTTTAAACCTGATTCTAAACGAAGGAACTGGCCTTGGAAGATGCATGGGGAGTATGTTCAAGGCAGTGGACACGTGTGGTATGCATGTGTATGTGTTGTTACTGTTGTTAAAAAAAAATAGGCACGTATTCAGAACATGTTAGGAAAAATGGAGTACACCGTATGGGAGACAGTTGAATGTGTTTATAGGCTATGTATGGTATGGTATTTATCTTTGTATGCCCAGAATCAAGGATGCTGACTGTCATGTAATAGTTGTTTTATAAATGTCTGCTGAATAAGTGGACTAATGAAGTCCGTGGAGAAGAAACTATAAGACTGAAAGGCAGAGGGATTATTGACAAATGCATGTTCCAGAAGCCATGGGAAGAGAGGCATTCCATAGCACACAGAAGGAGGGCCACCTCTGAAGTGGGAGGGAAGGAGTTAGGACTGGAAATAAGTTTTCTGGTGCAGAGACAGGAAGCAGAGTTCCCTCCTGATAGCCACTGTGTTCTTTGCTGGGGGAGAGAAGGTTGTTTGCTGAAAAAAAGTCAGCTGGGAGTGGGTTCCGGGTTCTGCAGAGGCGGGCTAGTGACTGTGGAATTGGAGACGGGGGCTGACCAGGGACACTTGTAAGGAACACAGTGGTGCTGAGCACCCAGCCGAGGCTGCAGACCACACATAGATGGTGGTGCCAGCGGACATGGGGTGTGACGATGTGTAGCTCTAGCGGATGATTAAGTTTTGGGTGGGGTGTCTACAGATGGGCATGGCAGTGGTAGGACCAGGAAGTGAACAAACTGAAGTGGAAGAAGAGTAAGACTGAAACTGACATTAAAGTCTAGACTGGGACCTAAAGGAAGGAAGTAATGTCGAGAAGGAGGAACAAAGGGCAAACCCTAATGAGTCAAATGTCAAAAAAGTATAATGGGAAGAAGGGAGCAAGCTAGAAGGAAGGGAGTTCCTTGTTAATCTGTGGTAGGCGCTGCACACATTACTTTAAAAGATAACAACAGCTACCTCTTACTGAGTTTGACTGTATGTCAGAAGAAAGGCAAAGGGTTTTACCTACATAATTTCATTTAAGGCTCATAGCATATACCATAATCCCCATTTTACAGATGAGAAAACTGAGGCCTAGGGAGGTTAAATATATGGCTTGCATTTTTGTAGCTAGGCAAAGGAAGAAACTGCATCTGTCTGATGAAGCCAATGCCTATTATCACCAAGCTACGTTGCTAGTAAATTTTTCTTATTGTAGAATAACCTATGACTCCTGCATCCTTTTCTTATGAGCTGATAACCCAGGGCAACTTATATTAACCCCCTGGGCACCACAGGATGAAGTCCAGATTCCCTTGAGTGACACAGGAGGTTGATCAGAGTCCAAACCCACATCCTCCTTTCTAGACACAGCCTCCCACACCCTCTGCCCTTGCCTGCAGGAACTATTTTCAGTTTGCCAAGGGCATCAGGACAGCTTCTGGACATGGTGTTGTTTCAGTCGGTGATGTCTTTCTCCCTCTTCTCCTCCTGGCCAACTCCTTCCAGTCCTTCCAGACTGAGTGTGAGTATCACCCCCTTCCCCTTTCTTGAAGTGGAGAATTTAGAATGATGCCATTTGCCTAATCAAGCAGGCTTAGAGCATCTCTGCAGATCTGCATCCCAGCTCTCCTCTTCATACTAACATTCTGGGATGCTGACTCTTTGTTCAGGGCTCTCTTCACAGTCCCATAGCCCCTTCGTCTTCCATCTTCCATTTAGTATTTCACCATCTGGAGGGACCCAGGAAAAGGAAGGGGAAAGTCTCTGATCATGACTAGTGATGATGGACTCTTGTAGCAGCCTGAGGAACCCCTGGCTTGTGTCAACACTGTAGAGTGGCCAGTCTGGTTCTCATAGCATCCTTTTAGCACCCGGTAAAGAGAAAAAAAATTAGACAATAAAAAAATGTAGTCAATAAATTCAAGATATCTGTGGGTATCCTTAACCAAAACAGATATATTAAAACACTTTCTAACATTTTTATAATTTGAAAGCTAAAACATTCTATAGTTACTCTTGCTTTATATTATGCATTATAATTATTTTATAATGTGTGCTATAATTAAGTTAGTGGCATGGGTCACCTAGCAGGGAGGTGGATGGTTTGTGGATGTGAACAGGATGGGTGTAAAAGGACCCAGATTTTCACTTTCTGGGTGGGTGATTGGGCAAATACCTTATTTTTCTGGAGGTCTTTTTTTCTTTATGTGTAAAATGGCAGTAACAGGAGAGCTTCCCTGGCATTGTCTGGGAGGCCAAATGACAGCATGGCTGTCAAAGCCCTTCGTAAACTGTAGCATGCTTTAGGGGGGAAAAAAAACCTGGGGTGTTATTTCCCAGAGTTAGAGGAATGTATACAATACACTGCTTACGTTTAACCTGGACATACTCATTCAGGAAACTTCGGCAGCAAAAGGCTTTCGGAAACCGGGGAAAGAATCCGGCAGAATGAAAGAGAAATGGCAAATCGAATCTCTCAGAGACTCTCCTTGAAAGACTCCGGGATGAAAAATTAACTTGGCACTGTTGGGGGTGGGAATGCGGGCGGCTGCCCTGGATGCTCCGTCTTCAGCCTCCGGTCACTTTCCTTCCCCAAAGCCATCTTAGTCAAAGGTCATGTGTGAGTCTTGTCAAAGGCCAGCTTCCAATGGAATCATTGTCCCCCGGGACAGCGGCCCCCTGACTACATCTGCATTGGAGAAATCCCAAAAGCAAACGGCCCAGTGCAAACAAGAGCAGCCCGGGGCGGCCGTCCCGGGGCAGAGCTCACAGCGGAGGCCGCGTCCG